CATCCTAAAGGAGATCAGTCCTGGGTGTTCATTGGAAGGACTGATGCTGAAGCTGAAACTCCAATACTCTGGCCACCTCATGTGAAGAGTTGACTCATTGGAAAAGACCCTGATGCTGGGAGGGATTGGGGGCAGGAGGAGAAGGGGATGACAGAGGATGAGATGGTTTGATGGCATCACCGACTGAATGGGCATGAGTTTGAGTAAACTCCGGGAGCTGGTGATGGGCAGGGAGGCCTGGCGTGCTGCGACTTAAGGGGTCGCAAAGAGTCGGACACAACTGAGCGACTGAACTGAACTGAACTGAATGTTGTAACTTTTAATTTATTTATTTTTATTTACTTTTTTTTGCTTACGCTAGGTCTTCCTTGTCGCATGGGGCTTTCTCTAGTTGCAGTGAGTGGAGGCTACTCTTCGTTGCAGTGTGCATGCTTCTCATTGTGGTGGCTTCTCTTGTTGCAGAGCACAGGCTCTAGGTGCACAGGCTTCAGTAGTTGTGATTCATGGGTTTAGTTGCTCTGTGGCATGTGGAATTCCCGTACTAGGGATAGAACTTATGTCCCCTGCACTCACAGGTGGACTCTTATCTGCTGTACCACCCAGGAAGTCCCATAACTTTTTAAATGTTATAATTTGTAATAGACAATGTGTCTAGAATATCTTGTTGTGGCTTGGAATATGAGAAAAGTTCAAGTGCTTAAGAAACATTTTGGAAATAAGTAATATATTATCTAAATTGAATGATCAGCACACACCAAGATCCTTAACAGTATTCCATCCATGTGCTAGAAATATAAAATCAACAAAGATTTCCCAGACTCTAGTTACTGGATTCTAGTGACTTGAGGAGTGTCTGGAGCAGCCTTGGAGATGGTTTGAGCCTCCCTGCAGTTGGTGGGGTCGCCACCCTGTTTGGGGATGATGGCAGAATGTGGTGAGCGAGCTGGTAGCCATCTGGAGCGGGGGATCGTCCCAGGGTGGATTTGGAGGTAAGAGTTCCAGGGCGAGCAGCTTGCCTGGGAGCTGATGCTAGGAGACCCAGGAAGGGGGTGAGCCCCAGGAGGGAAGCAGGTACTCATGCAGGTTCCCCTGGGGGCATCCAGCCTTATTCTTGCTGGGAGCTTTGGGGGCCAGTGCAGTCCTGTGACTCTGAGTGACCCTGCTGGGGCGGGGAAGTGATTCCTCTGTGACGTTGGTTGAGGGCCGCTCCTGGGAAGGGGGAACTCCCCAACAAGGATGGAGAGGAACAACATCCTCCTTCAGGCAAGACTGTGGGTTGGCAGCTGGGGAGTCTGGCTAGCCTGTGGCAAAGGGTCAGTGCTGAGCACATGGGGTGGAACGACCACATTTCTGCTGCAGACGCCTTTCACTCTGCTGGCCACCCCCCTGGATGGCACCGGAGGTCAGTAGGCCCTGACCCTCTCCACTGTCCCCCTTCTCACACATGGTCAGAACCGGGGTGCCACCACAGGTTCCTGCCGAGATGCCATCTCTGTCTGGAGCCCTCAGCTCTGAGGTTGTAGGAAGCGCTTCACGTGGTGTGGTAACTGGAGAGATTAAGGTGGCAGTAGTGGTTTGATATTAGAAGTGATTAAGGCAAAGAAGTGTGCTTTCTCTCTGCTTTGAAGAGCTTTGGGCTAAAGTAGTTGGCTTATCAGAGTGCTTAGGAGCTGAGCATTGCATGGGTAGACATCCCCCTCGTTCCCGCCCTCCTCCCTCCTGCTCCTTTCTTATTCACTGTCTTTCTCTTTATGAGAACTTCCACTCAGAAAGCCTTCTTCACTTTTAATAGACTTGTTTTCCTTGTCCTGAACTTAAAAAAATTTTTTTTATTAAATGTATTAATTTTTTAATTGAAGGATAATTGCTTTACAGTGTCCTGAACTTTTGAGGAAGACGGGGACCATATTTTGTTGATTTTTGTGTTACTGGTGCTCAGCCAAACTCCTGGCATGTGGCGGGTCTTGAGAAAACGTTCAGTGAATGAATGTGTCTCCTTGGTGTACTGAGATAGGGCAGCACAGAGGACCATCTGGGGTGCGCTGCCCTTGGTTAGCGGCCTCTCTCTGTGCCCTGGGTCCTGCCCGCCCTGCATGCAAAGGGAGACTCAGGTCTCCAGAGTCCGCAGGAAGTGGATGTTGTCTTAGGGTTCAGCACGGTAAAGCAGTCTTTCACAACTAAACCTTTTCTTCTGAGAATTGTCAGAAAACTCTGGTAAGTGAAAAACTGATGAGTTTTCTGGAGTTACTGTCCTAAGAAATTTTACGTCTTTGTAATTGCTTAAATTCAGTTGTGGAACATCTTATGGAGTGAAATTAAATGCCGTTTTCCTCACCACCACTCTGGCAGTGTCTCCTGTGAGGTTTCTAACCCTGTTGGCGCTGGTATTTCTCTTTTTCCACTGTTTGTAAACTCCTGTTATTATCTTTTGAGTCTCTGACAAAGGTTATACATATACATTGAAGAAAACTTAGCAGCAAAAGATATAAGAATATGAAAATAATTTCATCATTCAGTGATAACAATTATTAACATATTGGTCTAAAATCTTTTTATGGATATAACACAGAAAATGTTTTATCTTATTACAAGCTGAGAATATGTGTTCTAGTTTCTATTTAGTTAACAGGCAGGGGTATTTGAGAAAGGGTTTTTTTTTCTGACCATTTCCCATTGAAAACCTCTCTGCAGTGTTTTTTCCTGCCCTTGATTGAGTGAAGAATTTTAGAAATAAAGTGGCACAAGATACAATTTATTGAAGCAAAATTTTTACAATGCTTAAAAATTTCTCTGGGTAGAATAAATATTTTCTTTTTTTCATGCCACCTAGCTGCTGAAATTTGGGCTAATCCTTCCACTTTCAGCTTTGAAACTGGCATGGAACAGTAGTAAACTCCTCCCGTGAGGTTTTACTTATTTCGTTTATTTCCCCCAAATTAATTTTACTGTGGTAGGCTAGAATAACATGTTGCCAAACATTTAGGTTTATGTGGTGAGGTTCAGCCAATGAAAGCAGGAGGTAGAATGCAGCTGGACTTGGAGGCTGACAGAGAAGGGATGGGAAAGCCTCTGTAAGGCGCTGGGAGAAGTCTTCAGAGGACGTGGACCATTTGCTCAGACAGCAGTCTCGGTCATTGAGAGGGGACAGTGCTTCCAGCCGCCTGAGTCTCACAGCTTCTGGTGGATCCTGTAGTTAACATTGAGTGCTTGTTACAGGATAAATGCAACCACCCTGGTTGGGTTACGTGTCCTTGCCAAAAAGTCGACGTACAGGAAGAGCCAATTTGTGTTAGTTTACTCTTCTTGACACATACAGAGGCTTCACAAATGGTCAGGGAAGTAGCCATGCAGCTGGACTGGAGGTGCTCATGCATCAGACAGTACCTGGGGTTTCAGATCAATAGCCGCACTACAGCGTCCATGACAACATTCATCTGAAAATAAAAACAGGGACAGTGTGGGTCACAGCTCTTGTGGACTTGCTAAAACATGCTTTAAACATCATACAACCAGTTGGAAATTCCTTCTGCAAAGCTCACTGCCTCCCCAGACTGACTTGAATCCTTCCCTGTAAGAAGTTGCTAATACTAGAGGACATGTGTGTTTAGAGCTTCATTTCTAAATATTAGGCCCCACTAAATAAACCAACACTCCTTGGAGGAATGGCTGATCACAGGGTTGGGAGGAGAAAGTCCAAGATGAGTCTGACTTGTCTCAGTAAGTCAGAAGGTGAAGAATTGCTCTTCTGGGATAGAACAGCCCACAGGAACATGGACAGGCCAGGGGCACTCCCTGCAGGCGAGGGGTCACCTGAGTGGCAGAATAGATGAGGACAGGAATGGGCTGTGAGTCACCGAATCATGTAGGAACCCCTAGGTTCATGGGGCTAAAAAGTAGGTAAACAGAGAATAAAGGAAAGCTTCTCTTTACAGCAGAATGTCATCTGATGAATGCACGAAAAACAGAGTTAGAAAATCTGCACTGTGTACCATCAGAGTAAGGTCTGTTCAGGTTGGCATCGGTCATGGATGCTGAGACCACTGGTTGACAGTCTGGGGGAAATGGGATACTTACATTGTCTCAAGGTCTTCCCCATAGTGTTAATCACAGGGTAAAAATGACAGTTCTGTAGTGAAGAAACCTGGGGATTTAACAATGAAGGAATCAAAGCTTCCGTCATGGATCACAGGGCTCACTGTCATGCAGGTCCTGCCATGGTGCCTCCTACTGAGCATCTCTGCCCAGACACATAACCCATGTCCAATTCAAATCCAGGGGTGACTGGCCTGAAGTCTGCAGAGGTGCCAGTATCACAAAAGACCAGGGAGATGGAAGAATTGTTTTAGATTAAATTAGATTCAGGAGACAGGACCACTGTGTGCCACGCATATATTCTGGATCAGATAAAATGGATGGGAAAGACATTGTTGGGATGCTGGGTGTAATCTGATACGGAGGTAATCCAAATCAAAGCTCACTTTTCTGAATGTTGATTGTTTGTTATCATGCAAGAGAATGATTTTTTGTCTTTGAAAAAATGCATGATGAAGGATTTGGGAGTGAAGAGCAGGAGATTGTCAGCTAAAGGTTCAGAAAGAATGTGATTATATATTATATATGAAATACATAAAACATGTTATGTATAATATAAAGGGGATGATAAAACAAAATGTTAAACTTGTGAATCTGAATAAAGAGTGTATGGAAGTTTTTTGTACTGTTTTTTGCATCTGCTGAATTATTTCAAGATGAAAAGTTAAAAAAGTTGCTAATAATGCCGCAGTTTGGGGTGGAGGTGGGCAGGAGAGTCACTCCCACGTCTCCATGCATGTCCTCTGTTCCTGATGCTCTGTGGGTCCCTCTGGAGCCTGCCTGCCTCTGTGCCCTGCGGCCGGACTGCCTGGCCCCAGACAGGCAGTGATCGCCTCTGCTGCATCCCCACTTCATCCTGTCGTCCTCTCCCCTTGCTTCTGCACCCTCCCTCCTGCCAGCAGCACCCTAGAAGACCCCACTTGCCCCGTTCCCCACCTTTTACGTTTGCCCTGTGTTTCCCACCACAGGCTGTGGGCACCTGGAGGTGAGCATCGCTCAGGTGGTCCTCCTCTTAGGTCGTGGTCCTCCTCTTGCTGACTGCTGCTTGAGGGGACAGATGCTTCTTTCCCCAGGAAACACCATCATTTCGATGGGACAGGATGGATTTTTTTCCTTGCATGGGCTTTGTCTTCCTCAAAGTGTCCCTGCTGGCTGAATGATCAGAGGACCTCGACCCTCCGGTGGCCACCAGAGCCACACGCCCTTGGCTGTGGGGCTCTGCTCCTCACTTCCGCCTGCCCTCACCTGCAGCCCCTCCTTCCTCAGTTGTTGTGAGGTGAGGTCAACTTGGTTACAGCAGCTTTGAGAGATTGCCATGTGATCGGTAACAACTCTTTCATTTTAAGGGAATTTGATCATCTGGCTTTTAGACAGTTTATGAAGATACTGTAACTAAGTAAGACCCAGGAAATGCCAAGTTTGGATTTATGCCTCGGTTGTTGCTCTCATGCTAGGATTTCCTTGTCCTTTAAAAAGAGAACAAAACTTGTGCTGGGAAGGGGAAATTGAGCCTTTAAGACTTGGTTGGACTGTGGAATGAGTTTATCTGGTAGCAGGGGTGTGGTTGTTGCCTGAGTTGCTCTTGCCATTAAGGCAGGGATGACAGTGCAGGACCTTGTGCAACTTCCATTCATGACATGGGCATCAGCACCTTACCAAACGCTTAGTGTTCATACTTTGTGTCTATGTCATAAGGAAGGCTGAGCATCGAAGAACTGATGCTTTTGAACTGTGGTGTTAGAGAAGACTCCTGGGAGTCCCTTGAACTGAAAGGAGATCGAATCAGTCAATTCTAAAGGAAATCAACCCAAATATTCATTGGAGGGACTGATACTAAAGCTGAAGCTCTAGTACTTTGGCTGCCTGATGTGAAGAGCTGATTCATTGGACAAGACCCTGATGCTGGGAAAGATTGAGGCCAGAAGGAGAAGGGGACAACAGAGAATAATATAGTCAGATGGCATCACCGACTCATTGGACATGAATTTGAGCAAACTCTGGGAGAGAGTGAATGACAAGGAAGCCTGGCATGCTGTAGTCCATGGGGTCAAAAAGAGTTGGGACACAATTTAGGCACTGAACAACAGCAACAGCTGTTGTAACCTACTTGTGAAAGACCATTCATCCAGCCTTGTTGTACTCGTGAAGTACTCATGTTTGCATCAGGCAGGGGGAAAGCTGTTGATGGGTCGGCTGGCTTTCTCAAAGCCCCTGCTGCCCTGTTTTATTTAGAACACTAATAACTAAGTAGTTATTTTTCCACGAAGAGAATTCTGCTTCTTTTGTCCTTAACCAAAATAGGGACCATTTGCTGAAAGTTGTGTTGGTATTTGCAAATGCCTAGCTTTCGAAATCAGTGTCATGGTTAAAAAAAATGAGGGGGGCGGGTGTCACACAGCCCCCTTAAAGCAAACATGAGCATTGTAAGCCACTTGACTTTGATAATTTCTTCTTTCTCTGGATAGCCTTGACCTTTTCTGGGACAAAATGATTTACAACATGAGTGAATGTCTAGAGGGCAGAAACTATGTCATACATGTTCTGAGCTTGCAGTTTCCTGTTGTAAAATATAAATCATATAACATTTGTATTGGATAAATTAGAAATGTGAATTAGTTGCTTTATTTAACTAGTTTTTAGAATACATTTATAGAATGTATCTTTGCTGTATTATGATTTAAAAATTATCCTTTAAAAGTTGATTTAAAAATGAAAGTAATATGTGTAGAAGGTTAAAAAAGTAGATCACATTCAGTTCAGTTTAGTCGCTCAGTCATGTCCGACTGTTTGTGACCCCATGAATTGCAGCACGCCAGGCCTCCCTGTCCATCACCAGCTCCCGGAACTTACTCAAACTCATGTCTATCGAGTTGGTAATGCCATCCAACCATCTTGTCTTCTGTTATCCCCTTCTCCTCCTGCTTTCTATCTTTCCCAGCATCAGGGTCTTTTCAAATGAGTGAGTTCTTCACATCAGGTAGCCAAAGTATTGGAGCTTCAGCTTTAGCATCAGTCCTTCCAATGAATGTTCAGGACTGATTTCCTTTAGGATGGACTGGTTATATCTTCTTGCTGTCCAAGGGACTTTCAAGAGTCTTTTCCAACACCACAGTTCAAAAGAATCAATTCTTCGGCATTCAGCTTTCTTTATAGTCCAACTCTCACATCCATACGTGACTACTGGAAAAACCATAGCTTTGACTAGACAAAACTTTGTTGGCAAGGTAATGTCTCTGCTTTTTAATATGCTGTCTAGGTTTGTCAAAGCTTTTCTTCCAAGGAGCAAGCATCTTTTAATTTCATGACTGGTAAGTCACCATCTGCAGTGATTTTGGAGCCCAAGAAAATAAAGTTTCTATTGTTTGCCCATCTACTTGCCATGAAGTGATAGGATCGGTTGCCATAATCTTTGTTCTTTGAATGTTGGGTTTTAAGCCAGCTTTTTCACTCTCTTACCTTCATCAGGAGGCTCTTTAGTTCCACCATAATGGTGTTGGAGAAGACTCTTGAGAGTCCCTTGGACTGCAAGGAGATCCAACCAGTCCATCCTAAAGGAGATCAGTCCTGGGTGTTCATTAGAAGGACTGATGCTGAAGCTGAAACTCCAATACTTCGGTCACCTCATGTGAAGAGTTGACTTATTGGAAAAGACCCTGATGCTGGGAGGGATTGGGGGCAGGAGGAGAAGGGGACAACAGAGGATGAGATGGCTGGATAGCATCACCGACTCGATGGGCATGAGTTTGAGTAAACTCTGGGAGCTGGTGATGGACAGGGAGGCCTGGTGTGCTGCGATTCATGGGGTCGCAAAGAGTCAGAGACGACTGAGTGATTGAACTGAACTGAACCTTCATCAAGAGGCTCTTTAGTTCCACCTTAAGGGTGGTGTCATCTGCATATCTGAAGTTATTGATATTTCACCTGGAAATATTGCTTCCAGCTTGTGCTTCATCCAGCCTGGCATTTTGCATGATGTACTCTGCATTTAAGTTAAATTAGCAGGGTGACAGTATACAGCCTTGACATACTCCTTTCCCAATTTGGAACCATTCCATTGTTCCATGTCTGGTTCTTACTGTTGCTTCTTGATCTGTATACTGATTTCTCAGGTGGCAGATAAGGTGATCTGGTATTCCCATCTCTTGAAGAATTTTCTGCAGTTTGTTGTGATCCACACAGCAAAGGCTTTGACATAGTCAATAAAGTAGAAGTAGATGTTTTTCAGGAACTCTCTTGCTTTTTCTGTGATCCAACAGATGTTGGCAATTTGATCTCTGATTTCTCTGCCTTTTCTAAATCCAGATTGAAAATCTGAAAGTTCTTGGTTCATGTACTATTAAAG